AGCTACGATATATTATATAGATAGTATGGATATTATAGATAGATAGATAGATAGATAGATAGCTAGATAGATAGATAGATAGATAGGCGACTAGACGTTCACCTACGGACTATGACGTGTAGCGACTAGACGCTCTCCTGCGGACCCCAAGGTCGTGGGTTCATGTCCTGACGTAGCCCAACCTTGGTTCCCATATTAACCCTTAAATGTGTACCAGATGAAGTCCGGCAAAGTAAAGGCGGCCGACCTGGTGTTGACCATCTGACCCATCAAGTGTCGACTGGTCTATACAAGAAAAATCTAGCCCTGTGTGTCCAGTACGCCTGACGGCGTGGGCAAGGGTCCATTTTACTTAACTCCAAACACGTCATTGGATGCTCGGACCAGGGACAAAGAAGAGAATAAATACTGACATTCCAAAAGATCTGAACGTCAAGGAAGATTTGCTAATGGACAGCATCTTGTCTTGGAAACTGACATATTTTAGTCTTGCCAGTTGCTATGGCAGACTTGAAAAAATAATAACATAATTCATGGTACCACGAAAGAGGAGCAGGGGCCGATCGACACGAAGATGAGCACAGGATATAATGACTCCTTGAATATAAAGGTACAATGTACGGACAATGGGTGAGAATCGAGTTTCTTTCATGCAGACCGTGAGGAATGCGCCGGCCTGCAAATGACCTGCCACATGATGATGATGACGGCGATGATGTCATAAATTGGCCTTGGCTCCCAGGTGGACCTAGTCTAAAATGGGGACCAAAAGAACGACAAAGAACCACTTACAAACTCTTGAATATGTCTTCGATGGTGGCCACAAACACCAAGAACACAGACAAAAGAACAATAAAAAACCACTTTCAAACTGTTGCGGCGTCCGTGGCTTAGGCGTTGCAAGTCTGACTCGTAATTCCAACTTACCACGATCGAAACCCACGGCTGGCAGCGTGAATTGTTATCATGGTATGGGGCGTAGCAGGTCGACCCAGCCTCAAATGCGTACCAGGAAGGATGTCCTGTGGAAGTAGAGGCGGCCGGCGTAATGCTGACCACATTACCCACCTAGTGCCGATGGTCTGAAAAATATGGGCGCTCTTCCCATATGCCCGATGCGCCTAAAGGCGTGAAAAGGGATCTTTACTTTTTTTTTAAACTGTTAAGTTAATCTCCGATGGCGGTCTTAGACATCAAGAACACAGACAAAAGAGCGACAAAGAAACACTTTCAAACTGTTGGGTATGTCTCCGATGGCGGTCTTAGACATCAAGAACACAGACAAAAGAGCAACAAAGATCCACTTACAATTTGGTCAGTATGTCTCCGATGGCTGCCCCACACAGCTCTGGGACGTAGAGAATGCCCTTAGATCTGACCCCATTACAGATGATTGCGCCGTTGTCCGGAATGACCACAGCCACGATGCCAGGATAGTCACACTGGGACACGATCTGTCCATCTGCTCAGCAGCCACCACAATATCATGTTTCAGATCACCGAATAGAGGATGACAGTTATTTTTGTGGTGATGATGGTGATAATAATGCTTATGTCAGTGGTGGTGATGTTGATGCTAAAATTGTCTGTGGTAGAGGTAATGATGGTGTTAAAGGTGGGGGTGATGATAGTGAAGGGTCCTGATGATAATACAAAATGACTTTACTGTACTTATTACTGCGGTTTTACTGGGTACACTTGCAAAAAAAGAATAGAACCCGACCTATGAAAAGAGGCTATAAAACGTATTCGGTTGATAATGTTAAAAGAAAACTAGCAAAGAGCCCTTTTTGCGTCAGTAACGTATATTGTGATAGATCAAACGGTACTCGGTGAGGGATTGGCCAACATCGTGCTTGTCGCCTCAACTTATCATGCCATTATCTGGTACAAGTTTGGGATTGCGTCGACATGAAGCCGCGGTCAAATATGAAAAGTTTCCTTATATCCGGATGTGAACTAATGACCTTTGGATCAGCAGGCTCCACTCTCAAATTTAAATTTCTGCTAACCGGCCACACATATCACATCGGCGACTGGGTCAACCACTGACTCGCCGATAGACGACTTCGACGCCGGTCGGGACAGTATGTGAGTCTGTCGCCTTTGATCGCATCAACACCGCAGGAGTCCTTTTCGGCGCTCTTGGTGGAGTGCAATGATGAGCTATTTTATATGGCACACAAAACCTAGTCACAATTATAACCTAAAGCTCCCCCTTTGGGGTTGCTCTTTTAAGGTGACGATATTTTTTCCGAGCATATTACCTACCTACAAAGCCACTCATTTCGGCATGCAGAGAGTGATGATGATGATGATGATGATGATAATGATTATGAGGGCGAGGATAGGGGTGATGAAGTTTGAGAAAACGTGGTTGTGTCCGAAACGTTAAAACCTTAACCTGGTTTGTGAAATGAAAATGTTTACCTTTAATGGAGAGCACAATTGCAGATGCAGACAGAAGCAACACCAAGGATGCTATTCCCGCGGCCGCCATTTTGTCATATGATTCTACCCGTTCATCTAACGGCTGTCATTCTAGTTAACAGTCTATATCCCAACCAATCCATCGAGCCTGTGTTCCACGTCACGAGTATATGGGCAGTTGGACAAGCAAAGTGTAAAATAGTCATATTTCTTAAACAATATAGCGACAATCAATACATGTTTATTACTCTCTATGTATACAGTATGTGTGCCGATAAGTGATGGACAACAAAGAAGTTGTGAAGACCAAAACGACAATACACCAAAGAAACGTGCTTGGTGTCTTTTCGAAGAGTGATGCATGTTTCAATAAATGGAAAGTGTGTTTGTTCAAATACAATCAGGAGTATAGACCGACAAAGTGTTGTTGTATTTTAGACAGCTTATCTACGAGATGTTTCTTATGTACTAATTTAAAAGACGGTTTGTGTTCAGGTACTCACATGTTTGAGAAACACATTGTGTTAACTCTTACTCTCCTTCTTCTTCTTCGTATTATTATTATTATTATTATTATTATTATTATTATTATTATTATTATTATTCCAGTTCCTATTATTATTATTCCTTATGTTCTTTTTCTTCTTCTTTTTCTTCTTCTTCTTCTTCTTCTTCTTCTTCTTCTTTCTTCTTCTTTTTCTTCTTTTACTTCTTCTTTTTCTTTCTACATATTCTTCTTGCCATTCTTCGTCGTTGTCTTCTTCTTATTCTTCTTCTTCTTCTTCTTCCCACTATTATTATTCCTCTTCTTCTTCTTCTTTCTTTATCTTCTTTTTTTTTCTTTTTCTAGTTCTTCTTTTTGCTATTCTTCTAATTTTTCTTCTCCTGCTTCTTCTTCTTCTCCTTCTTCTTCTTCTGAAAGTCCTGGTTACTGGTCTGTATTCTTGATCTTGTCGTATTCCAGGATCTGAGTAGTGCGTGGACATCTGTTGATGTCTTGCCCCTCAAGCAGACCAACTACTCGCTCAGATAACTGGATCATATCACAATGGCCAGACCCCGGTAGAAGGAACATGTTTCTAGAATGACCAAACACAGCTGGGGCTAGGTCTTGGCCAGCCTGTACCCCGGGCCTCTAACAAAACCACATTTTCTTTGTAGATAGCCATAACTTTTTGTTTATGCAAACGAGAAGCGATTGAACGTTACGAAGGGATCACTAAAGCAGAGCTGAGGGAACAACCAACAAATACCGGTGAGCAATAACTGGGGAAACGACAAAGATGGTAGGCAAAACATTGACGCAGAATACTCTAAAGTGACAAAACAAAAATGTATTTGCACTGGAATCCACATGGGCAGCGGAATACACGTCAAAAACACACGAAAGAGAGCAACAAAGACATGGAGTGACAGTGTGAGAGACAGTGCGTGAGAGTGTCTGAGAAAGAGGGTCAGAGAGAGTGTGGGAGAAAGTGTATAAGAGAGAGAGAGAGTGTGTGTGAAAGAGAGTGTGTTAGAGAGAGTCACAGAGCGGGTCAGGAGGAGTAGGAGCAACAGAGAGAAAGGTGAAGTACACAAATCAGTTCCACACCCTTGGGTTTATTGGCTATGTAGTGCTAGATGTATATTTTATATTTGAACCAAGAAGAAACAAGCTTCAACTTACACTCTTTATTGGTGGGCATAGTCTGCTGCATCTCTACCAGCGCATACTACAGTAATAATTAAACAGATGCAGCGAATAATTGAATTCTTAAAGTGAAGTACAAACTCAGCCACACTTAAAAGTAATTGCCTGCTTTTTACCAGGGTAGCCGCAAGTACTCAGCCATGTCTTTCTGTTTACACCATTCAGCACGGAGGTAACGAATTATTTCGGCTGTCAGAAATCTTAGTGTACATTTATAGACAAATCTGTTCTTTACTTTCGAATGGATCATGGAGCCTCTAGCATTTGCCATCTCCAGTCTTACCTGATGTAGGTATTTTCTTATCCATCTCTCTCTCTCTCTCTCTCTCTCTCTCTCTCTCTCTCTCTCCTCCTCCTCCTCCTCCTCCTCCTCCTCCTCGCTAGACGACAACACTTAGAAGTAAAGACTAAGTAGAAGCTAGAAGTGGCTCCATAATCCATTCTTGGATAAATGAAATAAGGAAGGAAGATGACAGTATTACTGAAGCAGTGCTAGCGCAATAATACATGTATTGAACATCAACAAGAACCGGAGGTCTTGCACCTGCTCCCGCCATCTCGTCATACCTTGTGCAGGTCTGTCCGTGTGCTTTCCAAGTTTTTCATTTCACATCCTTACTCCCTTATTGATTTGTTTTTTTCTTCTGCGCCTTGATTGCTTCCACAGACCTGAAGGGTTCCAGCGCAGCCACATCCCAGTTATATGTTGTTATATTCGGTTTTCTCAATGTGTGTCCTGTCCAAGGGACAGGTTGTTTTATCCTCCTCCGTTGATTCGCTGCAATGTGTTCACTTCTCTACCTAAACACTTTATTAGTGATTTAGTCCTACCAATTCACTTCTTCTTCTTGATGTTCACCAGCAGTAAATTCCAGCGGAAAGTTTTGGCTGTTCGTCCTTTTTTGGACTTTGGTCTTCTTCCAGACTTTAAATGTTGCCTGCATATCCGGTTACAGATCTGACTTAGCTGACTGCAGAAGGTTGGTTCCTACCCTCTCAGGCAGATGTGTTCTGACTCCAGTAAACACACGCATGATTAGTTGCCTCTTACCACATACTTGTTAGCAGGCCAGGGATCTATCCCATCCCACACCCCCGCCTAATCGTGGGGTCCCAGAACCAACTCGGCGAGTCCTGCAATTTATTTCATTTTATTACGCGCCATGGCACGTGTTAATTGAATGTTTTTGATGCACTGGCGCTAAATATTTGAAGTCTGTTTCTAGGTTTGCTGTCTTTGTGCACAATGACTTATTGGTTTCAGATCTCTGACTGCACTGAGGCACTAATGCGTGCACTAAGCACTTTTAATTGTCATCGAATCAGCATGCATTTGATAATTCACCAGATGTGCCGGAACTTGAGGGAAAGGTCAGTATGTCAAACACCTTGCTCCAGAAAACCTGCCCAACTCTCCCCCAGGAAGTTCCTAAATTGACTCAGTGTTCTCAATCAATCATGCGCAAAAGTTTTCTTTCAAGAATTTCATTACACATTTAATATTATTTCACATATATTATTATACTTCACGCAATTCAGCACATTGTTATTATTGTTATCATCCGTATTATTATTTCTATGTATTATTATTATTTGTGCACATGAGGCTTGCAACTTCTCGAAAACATGTTCAGTTAAACTCAATTCTCCTTCTCATCCCACCCCAGTCAATGTGTTCTTTGTGTCAGCGCCTAGGTTGTCTGTAAATCTGACATGTCAAGGGTTAATCTGCTCCCACGCATCACTCAGGCAAATCTACGTCTCGGCGCATGATCAGTGCATGTTGGTTACCAAATGCGCAGTTGGACAGCATGCCAACTCTCAGCCAAGACGTCATTACTATATGTAATGTTATGTAACCGTTCTATTCAGCATGCCAAATACTTCCTAGTTGTGTTTCCTTTGAGATGCCCCAAAAGCAACATTGACGAAACATTTGCAAGACGTCACTCCGCTGCAGCAGGTGACAATGTCACAGACACATAAAACAAACATCGGGTCCCTTGTGTCGGTCTTCGATTGAACGTCTATGTGGAGAACGCTGTCATCCTTTTATGTTTCGGGTATCGACATGTTGTCTGTAGTTGGCAGGTAGTCAGACTACCGGTCGCCCTCTAAGGCCGCCTACAGAAGGAGCCACAGCCCTCAAGTTTCAATCCTTCTGGTTGGGCTCAATAAAGCGGTCCTGTTCTATCATTGCTCAAGCAGAGCCATTAGCCAAGAGAGCCAGCAGGTCGCAACTTCACTCACACCGTATGTACTTTTTTAAACTCCTCGCACATACCATCCCACTTCAAGTGCTTCCTCGGTTATTTCAGGTGCAAGGACAAGCAGTTGTGTTTCTATTTCGTTTAAAAACAAAATAAGATAGGCAACCAGTACTATTGTGTTTGTGAAATAATCGTATATTTTGTTGTTATTCTACGGATTTCTAAACATTTGTTGGCTGTGATACCATGATAACTTTGCCACAGTTGCTGAAGATGCGAACGGAGAGCCTAGGGGAATGGCCCGAGTGCTGTGTTATCGGTTTTTAACTCCCTTCCCTCCAGGTCGACCAGCATCAAATGGGCGCCGGGGAAAATCTAATTGAAGTTAAGGCGGTCGGCGTAAAATTCACCGCATGATCTATCAAGTGCCGATAGCTCTAGTAAAATATGGGTCTTCTATTTGTAACATGGGTCCGATGTGCCATTGACCAGAAATAAAAAATATGTTTACTTACTTGTGAACCAAGAGAATGAGATCCTAGCTTTACTGTTGTCCACACGGGTAAATTATTTCATTGTGTTCAAGTAAGTAACAAACGCGATCGCCTACAAATTTACAGGTAACAGGTGAAAGAATGTATGTACCTAAGGTAAGTACAGACGACCGCTTTCATCTACACGCATCAAACCGCCGCTGGTCGTCCTCCCTATAAATCTGTCCCTGATTCAGATGGTATCTGATGTCTTTAGTCACACCCGCCACTCCTCTAGCCTGTGATTACCATGCCTCCCTGTAGATGTGTCCCTGATTCAGATGGTATCTGATGTCTTTAGTCACACCCGCCACTCCTCTAGCCTGTGATTACCATGCCTCCCTGTAGGTCTGTCCCTGATTCAGATGGTATCTGATGTCTTTAGTCACACCCGCCACTCCTCTAGCCTGTAATTACCATGCCTCCCTATAAATCTGTCCCTGATTCAGATGGTATCTGATGTCTTTAGTCACACCCGCCACCTCTTTAGCCTGTGATTACCATGCCTCCCTGTAGATCTGTCCCTGATTCAGATGGTATCTGATGTATTTAGCCACACCCGCCACCTCTCTAGCCTGTGATTACCATGCCTCCCTATAGATCTGTCCCTGATTCAGATGGTATCTGATGTCTT